CCTCGGGGGGCTGCATCAGGCCCCCAGGCCTTAGGTTGCCTACCCCTGATCTAAACTATTTAGAACCATAAAATATCAGTATCCGTTACTGCATCTGCTTTAGAAACTTTTTGCGACTAATGAGAGCAGCTGCAAAGAATTTAGCAACTGGATAGGTTATACCAGGGGTCAGCAATGCCGCAAGTTGCGGCTGCCATTTTGTTTGCCAAAATGGCGGCCGTGACTCATTTGCACATGTGCGGTACTCCTGCGCATGCGCAAGCAAGTCACGGCCTCCATTTTGGCAAACAAAATGGTGGCTGCGCCATGCGTGGCAGCGGGAGCGCGCAGTGGTGGGGGCAGTGGGGGTCAGCAGGGGCCGGCCGGTGTGGGTCCGCGGGCCGGGTGTGGCCTGCAGGCCGTAGGTTGCCAACCCCTGGGTTATACATTCAAGGCACTCTGCAAGTAAATAATCAAGATAAAATTTCTCTTGTCTACCCGGGAAATGGAGAATAATTGGGGTTATACAGGAAACGTGTATTTCTGTATACAAAGAGCAACGAAAAAGGACATGACTGATAGTTTCAATTCCCTCTGAGCCACAGGAGCAGTATCTACAATGGTAAGGAATCTTTTTAAATCTGCCCTCCAGAACAAGATGGAAGAATGTTAAATCTTACTAACATAAAGTACAGTTAAAATTACATCAAATTAGAATATGCTCTAAGGCTTTCTTATAAGTTTGCTTTTGTTTCTTTTGTAGCTTCTTTGTTGAGCTTTCTTGAGTTTATTGGTTATAAAATAAGTCAACGAAATTACAGAGTAATTAAGGCAGGGGTAGGCAACCTTTTTGAGCTTGGGGCCGGGTTGCTGTCCCTCAGACAATTGGCGGGCCGAAGCAAAATAATAAAATAATAAAAATAATAAAAATAAAATAAAATAAAATTTAAAAATACGCATGCACACTCTCTCAGCCCCAGAAAAGCCATGATGGCAAAACTCCTGTGGAGATTTTGCCAAGAAAACCCCAACAACAAGTAATAACAACAATAATCAATATCATCATGGCGGGGGGCAGCAGGACCAGCCTGGGCCGGTTCAAAGGCCTCATGGGGCCGCATCCGGCCCCCGGGCCGCAGGTTGCCTACCCCTGAATTAAGGGCACGCTGCTGGAGAAACAGGGTGTTAATGTTGGACGGATTTCTTTTATTGTATATATGTAAAGAATAAGTATTTTTAACATTAATAATTTTTTTAAAGTGTAATAATAGAAGAAATGCCATGAAAAGATAAAAACGTACACTTAAAAAGATGAGATACCACTGAAAGATAAAAAGGAATTTAAAACAGTTCAATGCACAGGGTAAAAATACAGTGGTCCCTCCATTTTTGCAGACTTGATGTCCGCATCCTGCGCCTGTTCGTGGGCAGCAAATGGAGGAGGACAAAATTGGGTGCACGTCCGCGGGCATGCGCGCCATTCAAGCCAATGGGCTTGAATATTTGCGATTTTCTGTTTTCGCAGGGGGGTGTCTGGAATGGATCCCCCACAAAAACGGAGGGGTGACTGTAATTTCCACTCAGTTAACTCAGTCGGAGGTAGAGGAGAAGTAGCATAAAGAAGCTTGCCCTTCCCAGTTGTCTCAAGCAGGGGTAGGCAACCTTTTTGAGCCGGGGGGCTGGGTTGCTGTCCCTCAGACAATTGGGGGACTGAAGCACCACAAATAAATAAATAAATAAATATTAAAATAAAAAATAAAAAAATAAAAAAATATGCATGCACACTCTCTCAGCCCCAGCAAAGCCATGGCAAAACCCCTGTGGAGATTTTGCCAAGAAAACCCCAAGAACAAGTAATAACAACAATAATCAATATCATCATGGCGGGCGGCGGCGGTGGTGGCGGTCCAAAGGCTTCGGGGGGGGCGCATCTGGCCCCCAGGTGTTAGGTTGCCTACCCCTGGTTTATGTTAATACATAGGAACTAGTATAAGCTTGCTTTAACACAAGATGATTATTGAAAGTAGGTCTTTGAAATGTTTTTAAGAGATTGGTTCATTTATAGTTAAATGTCCATGCTATTTTTACATTCCAGACCAGTATTGGCTTTCCTTGCTGAAAATATACATAACTTAACATCTTGTATATTTTCAAGGTTGATGCTGTAATCTTATGTCACTTATGTTGTCTGTACATGTGTATATATTGTTGAATGTTTTGACCTCTTGTCTTTTTTGAGCTGGCTGTGTGCTATAAATAAATTTTGAATTTTAAATTGATTTTATTTGTTATTTTGTTCGTTTTCTAATTTGACCTCCTTCATGTTCCTACAATCCATTTCCACTTTAGTTTACAATAGTCTGTAACTGGGCTATTATTACACTTTTAAGCCATTTTAATCTTGTCATGGGTTGCTTGTTTGTTTTTCAAGTTTTGTTCAGAAGGGATTTGCCATGGTTTTCCTTTGAGGCTGAGAGTGTGTGACTTGTTCAAGTTCATCCAGTGGGTTTCCAAGGCTGAGTGGGGATTTGAGCCCTGAATCATAGTCCAGTGTTCAAGCCACTACTACATCATGTTGGATCTCAGGATTACCATGCATCCCCCTTTTCTTGGTTAAGATGCGATGTCCTTTTTTCAGAGCGAAAATGTTAAAATGCATTTTAAAATTTATTTTAAAACATCACATCTTAACCAAATTTTCACTGTAACCCCATGAAACTATGGATATGTAAATACATTTGAGCTGCGCATATGATATTGTAATTTTAATTTTGGTACAATTTTAATTTTGCTAGTTGTTTATGTCACATCTTTTTATATTACATTCAGTGACACATGGGAATTATGATTTATGGGTAGCATTAGTACAAAAAAAAACATTACGAAGATTTCTGTATGGTGTGGTATGGGAAGAGGTCAATGGGAGTATATCATAGAATCATAGAATCATAGAGTTGGAAGAGACCACAAGGGCCATCCAGTCCAACCCCCTGCCATGCAGGAACTCCCAATCAAAGCACCCCCGACGGCATGAGTTACCGCATTGCGTGATGCCAACTCCAGTGACACCACTGATGATGAGGATTTCATAGTCGTTTATTGGTAATAATCTGAGCACACTTCATTTTACAATTAATTGCTGTTGTTGTGTGCCTTCAATTCATGTCAGACTTATGGCAACCCTACCACAGGGTTTTCTTGGGCTGAGAATGTGTGACTTGCTCAAGGTCACCCAGTGAGTTAGGTACTGAAAATTCAATTGTAACCCAATCAGTGGTTGGTTTTGTGAAACATTACCGAATAACCATTTCAGATTGTTGCCATTTAAATCCAGTGAAGCCTAGGAATCTTTCTAATCATAATTATCACAGTTTATATAAATAAAGGCATTTAAAGTGAGAGTCATAGGATCCTAGAGTTGGAAGGGACCACAGGGGCCATCCATTCCAACCCTATTCTGCCATGCAGGAACTCTCAATCAAAGCACCCCCCGACAGATGATCATCCAGCCTCTGTTTAAAGACCTCCAAAGAAGGAGACTCCATCACACTCTGAATGAAAGTCTGTTCCATTGTCGAACAGCCCTTACTCTCAGGAAGTATCTCTTTTCCTGTAGTTTGCATTCATTGCTCTGGGTCCCATTCTCTGGAGCAGCAGAAAACAAGCTTGCTCCCTCCTCAATATGACATCCCTTCAGATATTTAAACAGGGCTCTCTTATCACTTCTTAACCTTCTTTTCTTCAGGCTAAACCTACCCAGCTCCCTAATCACCATCCTTCATCATAGCACTCAATAGTTTGAAGTAGCCAGTTGCTAAATGTGTCCTCCTTTTTGCTTTTCAAAATGTGGTAACCCTACTATTTTGCCAGTTCAACAGTGGGGCATATACAGCTTCAGTGAACCATCCTTCCTTCTCCGGGGCTTCTCTCAGATGAATGCTTATATAAGAAAAGTTGAGTTGCCTTAGTTCCCGCATAGCTGACAACAATAATTTCTTCCACTTCCAAACCCCTTCTAGTGCATCACCAAGCCTGCATCCGCACTGGAGAAATAATCCAGTTTGACACCACTTTAACTGCCATAACTCAATGCTGTGCAATTCTGGGAGTGTGTGGATGATGGGTGTTGTAGTGATGCTCTTTGACACCCAGCAGAATCTCCACAGCCACAGCCACTTTGTATTTCTCCACAGCCACTTTGTATTTC